CCAGCCTGAGCGCTGCTCCAGGGAGCTTGGGGGACTGTGTGTGGGCCCCTTAGCAGGGCTCCACAGCTTTTCTTTTCTTTCTTTGTCCTTCTTTCTAAACTCGGCTGCCGAAGCCAAGTCGCCGAGTAAATCTTTGAGGGAGCGAATTCCAAGAGCATGAGCCAGGCCGTCTCTCAGGACAGGTCTGGGCCAAGAGAAACCGGGCGAGGCCAAGAGCCGTTGCTGCAGCGCTGGCTTGAGGGGCTCTGCCTGAACTTTCCCGTCTCCCTGCACCCTGAGATGAAGGGAGCGGGCCACTTTTCCTCCCCCCTCTTCCCCTTGGTCCCCACGTGCACCCTGGGCAAGCCTCGCCTGATTTCCTCCTGTCAGGGTCTGCATTTACATCTGCCTGGCAGGCTCAATTAGACCTGCCCTGAGAGGCCGGATTGACTGGCAGAGGGGCTGATGGGCGATCCTGGTGCCCGGCTCGTGCTTGCTCTCCACGGCAGACCCCAGCACGGGCCGGATGCTGAGGAGAAGAAAGCTGGCAGCTGGAGTTGGAGGAGAGGTCAGCGCTTTTCGGGGAAGCTCCCACTCTCCCATCCCGCTGGGTGCTGGCCTGTCCTTCCCCAGGGGCTCCCTCTTGCCTTGAGTCTGATGTGCAATGCTGGGGAAGAGCCTGGCTCCTTTTTACCCCAGCCTATGAGCTCATAGGGGCTCATGAGATGACCTGAATAAATGCCTTTTGGGAAAGAAGTTGGAGGTCATCTTTCTGTGAGTGTTTTTTTTTTTTCCCCTTGGTTTGTTTCTGTTAAGTGCCCTGCCCCGGCCTGCAGGACATAACTTTCCTAATTCCATGAAAACGTGGCTTCAGGCCTCCATAAACAATTGTGGTTGTTTCTGGGATTTGATTTTGAGCTACTCGAGGGCAAGAACTGTTCTCCCTCCCTCCCTCTCTGTCTCCCTCTCCCTCCCCCACAAATGTTTATTGAGCACCTACTAACCCTCTTCACTGCACTCCGTTCCTATTCGCTCCCTTAATGTTGACTGTCTGCTAACAGGCAGGGAGTGTTAGGTGACTGACTGAATGAATGAAATGTTAAGCGGCACTTTAGGAAGTGGGCCAGAGTGTGAGGGTCCCCTGAAAGGTGTGGGTGTGGTTAATTCCTCAGGGTGCCGGGCAGCAGAGAGATGGACTGAATAAGGACCCCGCACCACCTGGCTGCCCACCATCTTGCTGTGAGTCTGGAAAAACTGAACTCTTCAGGCTGCCGTCGTTGTCTTTAAAAATGGGCGGTCTTGACACTTTTTTCCCCCTTGAGACATTGTAGAGCTAGAGAACTCTGATTCTGTGGAGCTAAGATTCTCCAGAAGCTTTGACACCCTCCCCCAACCCAATCCCATAAAATCAGATTCTCCTCTCCCAGGACACGAAGGCCACCACACCCACGCCTTGTTCAAGAATCCACAGTGGGCTGGTCTCTCCTTGGCTTTCAGAAAAATGCAGAACCCACAAATTGACTTTATTCCCCAGTGCTTAGCACTGGGGTCCCAGTGAGGCCCATTTTGGGGGGTGTCTTGTTTCTTTGGTGACATGCGCACCTCAGGGATGACGCACATTTCTAGTTTAAATCGGTCTTGATTAGATCGGTCATCCCAAAGTAAGAACACACTGCATGAAAGCAAACAAATCCTCCATACCTGCACTCCCAAAGAAGGACTCTGGGCCATTTTGGTTTACTTCCCTGTGATCGTTGGCTTTTCTCCTTTTTAAACGGGAGCAGGATTTTCACAGAAGAACTCTATTAATTTCATTACCCATCGCTTACGGTTAGTTGGATATAGAGGTCACTTTTAATCTTTACCGTAATCTACATGGTATAAGGAACAGCCTGTAACTAAATCTTTTTGTACGTCTCTAATTATTTCCTTGGGCTAAAATTCCTATCAGAGGAATCGCTGGGATTAAAGGTTTTCTGACAACGGGGGTAGGAATGGGGGACGCAGAGCCAGTTTGAGATCCAAATCCTTCGTGGGGTTGGGAGAAAACACAGACTGAGGAGATGATAATCTCTCTCTCCCTCTCTCTCTCTCCCCGCCTGCAATGCGGGGCATCCAACCCAGGGCCTCCTGCACTTAGGCAAGCGCTCTCCTGTGCACCAGCTACCTCCCAAGCCAGTCCCTCCTTTTCCTGTGGGAAGCGGCCAGCTTAAGCGGCACCCTTAGCACACTGCCTTCCAGCCTAGCAGCGCTCCTACCCCACCCACACCTCGGTTCTCAGATTTCTAGAAGGTTCTCCAAAGGCAGTATGCTGGGGTGGGGAGCCAGCAGCTGGTGTGTCTTTAGCAGGTGGCTGAAGGGGCCATGCGGGCTGCAGCGGGGAACCAGCCTCCCCCAAGTCCCAGATCCCGCCCGTTTCCCTCCCCCCACCCCACCGCTAAGGAACCGTGTACTTGGACAGCCACGCGTGATTGACTGCGGTGTTAAGGAAATATGTATGACACAATGTTTTTTAGCTTTTTCCAGAGATATTTATATCACACAAATGGCATGTTGGTTTCCCCTCCCCCCCCTCTCAGCCACCAAGAATGAATAAATCGATTGTTCTAATCAGGCTAATGGACAGCACCAGAGCTTAGAAAGATAGGTGGGCCGGACTCTGGCTAGCCTCTGAGGCCTGATGGAGGGCTGGAGGGGGGTCTCCTCAGCCTCTTCTACCCCTGGGCCGCCTGGAGACAGGCATGGTGACCTGGGGCCTCTCCCGACTTCTGGGGTTAAGATCCTGCGAAGCGTTTGGAATTCCTTGGAAGAAGACAGCAGAGGACATTTTTAATCCTTTTCTCCCCCAGCCCTTTGGATCTGAGCGTAGGAGTGAGCCACATGTACAGAGAGCTCACCACTGCGTTCTGAGTTATAAGGTTTCTGTCTCACACAATCCTACAGACCTTTCAGAGCAACTCCAAATTGTGGGTGTGGGGGAGGGATATAGTTTGTTGTGATTGTTGTTATTACATAAAAATTAATGGTTTGGCAAACACAGTGATTGTCGTGTTATGCAGAGGTCATGTTTACACCAAGCAAATATATTTCAGGCTTCCTAAACCTTCAGTGGTGTTGTGGGGATGCGGTTCCCATGCAAGACTCAGTGGTCCTCACAGCTCCAAGGAGGGACATTCATGAGTTGCACCTCTGGGAAGGGGCCCATGAGTCCCCAGATGCCTGGTGGCCAAAGTGGGTTTTTCAGTTCCTGACTTTTTGAGGTTTCGTACCCTTCCCCCACCCCCACCCCCATCTCAGGCAGTGAAAAATCCAGAAAAGAGACATTCACAAGGGTGAGTGATCCAAACTTGGATCCCACTCACTGTCCATGCAGCCATTCACCAAATATTTATTAGCGCTGTGCGCCTGCCAGAGACTGAGCCGAGTGCTCGGAACACACAGTGGATGGTGAGAAAGCGGCACGGTGGGGGAGGCTGCAGACGCGTCCAGCAGATGGATGTGAATCAGGAGCCGCTCCAGCAAACGTAAACCTCAGACCTAGTTTCAGACTATGCAAGGGAGGCCGTGGGACCGAGCTGCACGACAGAGGGGACCTGATCTAACCCTGGGGAGAGAGTGAACAGAGACCGGAGAATAAGGCGAGGCTGAAGGTCCCGCATCTCCAGAGGGACCGACTGGAGGACACGAGAGGCTGGGGCCAAAAGACCCCAGCAGAGGGAACCAGGGGATGGAGCTCGGCAACCCACCGCGATGGCAGTAACGAAAACACACACAGATAAAAAACAAGGGTGGCTGGCACGGGTATGGGAAAATCGGATCCCTGGTCTACTGCTGGTGGGAACGTAAAATGGCACAGGCAAAATTCTCAAACAAGCTAAACACACAGTTACCATGTGACCCAGGAATTCATTCCTAACTATACACCCCCAAAGAATTGAAAACAGATGGTCACACAGCACTTGCCCACAAATGTCCAGGGAGGTGCTCTTCGTAGCAGCCAAAATGTGGAAGCAATCTAAATGCTGATCAACAGATGACCATTCAGCCAAAGGCAGCCTGTCCATTGGGTAGAATATTACTCAGCCCTGAAAAAGGAATGGAGTACTGAAAAATGCTACCATGTGGATGAACATCGACAGTATCACACTCAGTGAGAGAAGACAGAGGCAAAAGGTCCCACATAGTTTTGATTATATAACATGAGCAGAACTGGGAGTGGTGATGTGTGCCTGTAATCCCAGCACTCAGGAAGCTAAAGCAGGAGGATCATTATGCAGTCTGGACTGCGTAGCAAGGTCATGCTTCAAAAAATAAAAAGGAAATAAAATCTGCAGAGTGTCAGAGGGCAGCTGGGTGGTTGCTGCGGTTGGGAGGGGGTCGCAGAGTGGAAAGAGGCACTGCACAGGTATGGAGTTTCCCTTCCAGGTGATGAAGATGTTCTGGATTAGATAGTGGTGATGCTGCCGGGGTTTAACTCAGCGACCTAACAGCCTGCCCGGCAAGCATGAGGTCGTGAGTTCGGGGGAGGCAGCCGAGGCAGTGGATAAGGGGCTTAGGTGGCGGTGTTCATGCTGGGAACAGTGAACGAATGACAGGTGCTGGTGAAGCAAATGCATTGCTTTGGGCCTCAGTTTCTCCCCCTGTAAAGTGGGCCTCTAGGACTCACAGGCGCTGGAAAGAGGCAGGCACAGGAGGCCAGCAGCACCTGCCCTGGCTACCTCCTCCTTGGGGGGCTCAAAAGAACCCAGCATCCTTCCAGGCTAGCACCCCGCCCAAGGAAGGCAGCACCCACGCTGGGGTTGATGATGCTTCTTTTAGAAGGCAGGTGCTTTGGGAAATCCTCCGAAGCCTGGCTTCACAGACACTGTGAAGGTGATAGATGGTAGGTGTTAAAAGCTAAGCTTCAACACAAAACCAAACCAAATCGGGCCTCTACCACTGGCTTCTCTTCCGTAATTGCCCCCGCCCCCTCCGGCGGGCCACGCCCTCATGGGCCACGCCCCCAGAGAAGCCCCGCCCCTGTCACGCCCCCGGTGTTGGCGCGGGGCTCGGGGTTGGAGGCGCCCACCTGCGCTGAGCCGGGGAGCAGACGAGGGGGCGCCGACGGTGGGAGGGGCCGGTCGGAAACTGGCAGGTGAGGCTGGGAACTAACCCGAGACAAACCCTCCTCCCGCCGCCCGGCCGCCCCTCGCCGAGGCCTTGGCTTTTGCATAATGTAAGTACTTGTTCAGGGCGCGAGCTGGCTTTCTGTCCCTCATCGCCGCTGGGCTTCCGCCCTGTGTCTGCCTACGTGGGAGCGCCTGGAGGGGGTCCTTCCCTCCGCTCCTGTGTGACCCCCAGCCCGGGCCGGGGGCGGAGAGGGAGGGAGGGAGGGAGGGAGGCCGGGGCTGCGGCGGTGGGGGCGGGGCGGAGGGGGAGGGGAGGGGGAGGGGCGGGGAGGGACGCCGGCGCCTGCGGACTGGCCGGGGGACCCGCGCTGATGCCAACTTGGATGCCATCCTTTCCTCCAATAAAAGGAACTTTTCACTTGTTTTTCAAACACTCCTTGCATTTTCTTTTATGAATTTAAAGAGACTGGTCGGTATCCCTCTGATTGGACGCACCCTAGTGCAAAAGCAAGGCTGCCCTGCGCTCGTGCGCGCGTGCACACACACACACGCGCACACACACACACACACACACACACACACACACACGCGCGCACACACACACACACACACACACGCACACACGGCTCTCCCCGTGCATCTACTCCGATTACAACCGCCCCTCCCCCACGCCCCTTCCTGTCCTGGATCCCGGAGGCAGCCAGCCTCCTGCAGCCGTGCCAGGGCCCGTGGGGGGCTGCTATGCTGGAGAGGGGTGCGAGGGAGGAGGGGCGCCCGAGGAAGGCCAGAGAGAACAAATTAGATAATCAAAAGAATTACAGTAATTGCTTTCACTTTCCCAAGACCGCTCTGCGGATTCCCTCTGCTGCCCCTTCGCTGGCTTTCGGTCCGTGGGGAATGCTGGATCTTCCCGGGCCCCTCCTCTCCCCTCCCTTCCCTCCTCCCCTCCTCTCCCCTCCCCTCCCTCCTCCCCTCCTCTCCCCTCCTCACCCCTCCCCCAGGCTCCTCCCCTCTCCTGTCTCTTCTCTCTTTTCTCCTGGCCCCTCTGCGTTCCCTCTCTTCCCCAGTCTTCTAGTGTGCTGGAACGTTCGCCAGAATATGATGAATGATTACCTGTCACGGCTTGTTTATTATAATGCGGGCAATCAATTACACATCCCCAACGCTGGCCGGCCCGCAGGAAATTTATATGCTCAGCACAAACCAATGTGAAAATGGAATCTCATTTGCCAAATGTCTTTCTCCCGGTACAGCACGATGATTACAGTCTGTGTTTGTTTCAACAGTCGTGTGGGACTGACAGTGCCATCATTTACTGCCTGGCTCAGGTCAGTTACTCGGAGGCTTTATTTATTGTGTTACCAAGGCCCGTGCAGGAGGTGGACAAGGGTTTCTGTCACGGATGCCACCCTGTTAAAATGTGGGTTGGCTGGGCCCCTGGAGGGCAGCATTGCACCCTCCGGCCCTGAGTCCTATCTCAAAGCCGCCTCTTCCAGCATCCAGCTGCCAGGACTCCTCAAGACCCCCCTGGGGACACAGCTGTTCCATCCAAAGCTGTCCAGGTCCTGCAATCAGCGGCATCAGAATTCAGATTCTGCTTCTGGCTAATACCATGTGTCAGTGACTCAGTCTCCTCATCTGAAAAATGGGAATTGAACAGCTTCCCTTAGGAATAGGTTTTAGGATCTTTCCCATCTTTCTTACAAATATGGATGTCTGGAATATCAGAGGTGTGGATGAATGTTACTTCCTATGACTTGAGAAAGGGGTTCCTTTGGAAGGGATGTGAACTGCAATTCATGCCCTGTGTTATTAAAATCTCCCTTAAACCGGGCATGGTGGTACATGCCTGTAATCCATGCACTCTGAGAAACTGAGGCAGGAAGACTGTGAGTTTGAGCCCAGCGTGGATAACTTTTTTTTTTTTTTTTTTTGTCTTTTTCGTTTTTATCAGTACCAGGGATCGAACTCACAACTGCCTGCTTGCAAGGCAGGCGCTTATGCCGCTGAGCTAAATCCCTAGCCCCTAGCGTGGATAACTTTGAGATTTAGTGAAATCCTGTCTCAAAATGAGAAACACAAAAGGCCTGGAGATGCAGCTCAGGGTGAAGGCCCTGGGTTCAATCCCTAGGACTGCAAAAACAGACACGTAAAATTTAAAAATCTGCCCCAATCTGTGCTTTCGGAGACATGGCAGTATTCAAATGATTTATTTTCCTTCCTAGTGGGATTTTGGAAAATGCGTTTCCTCTGCAGCGACACATACTGTGCTTGGGAAAATAAAGTGGACACCCCCCCCCCACCTTGTTTTGCTTCCGTTTCTGGCCTTGTAAAAATAGACACTAGCAGTGTGGCCTTTCTAGCCATGTGACCTGTCCCCAAAGCCTCGGATCCTCCCCTGAGAATGCTGAACTGCTTCCCTCGTGCTGCTGGCAGGGACCGAGGTGAAGAGGAAGTCGTGGCTGCTGTCTGACATTCTTCTGACAGGCGTTCCGGTTGGTCGTGAGGGTTCTGCTGAGCACAGTGCCGCCCCAAATGTGCCCTCCCTGCTGCCAGCATTTGCTACCAAGTGTCTCCGTTAACAGGGGCGGGCAGATTCTCCTGTGTGTATTTGTTTGTGCTGGTGCTGTATGACTCTATTATTTCACATGTGCGTTTGTTGACGGGCTGTCTCCCCTGCTATGCCAAGCTTTCCCCAGGCAAGGAAGCAAGTTGATTTCATTCACCTGTGTGATTCCCATTACCTAGACACTGCTCAGCATAGCCTGGGTGTCCAGGAAGTATCTGTGGCTTTGATGGCCGCGTGGCCACATAGCTGAACTCATCAGGACAGCAGCTTGTTCTGCAGGGCCTGGGCTCTGGCTGGTGGATGTTTGCAAGCATCTTCTCTATTTCGGGTCCTCACAAAACAGGCTGTGCCTGTGGCCATCCTTGCGAACCGGTGACAGGCCACGAGCGTGTCTGCCTGGCCACCCCTGCTGCCTGCTGAGATCAGCGCCCTTGGAAGTGACTCCCGCTTCCTCTCACAGGCTGTGTTGCCTGGTAGGCTTTGCCTTCTCTAGACCACAAGCTCCTATGCAGACAGCTATGCCCCATTTGGATGTGGGTCTCCAAAATCTCCCATGAATGTTTGTCTTGAAGGAGGTACATTTCAATCAGCCATCAATCAATCAATCATCATGATTGATTAGCTTTTCTGAACACTGGTGTACAGAATACAAATTGAAAAATTCTATTAAAACACGATCAGGAAAAAATTAAGTTCATGTTTTATTTAATTTTATTTTCTGTTAGTTTTTCGAGACAGGGTCTCGATAAGTCACTAAATTGTCCCCTGGCTGGGCTCTCATTTGCAACCTTCCTGCCTCAGCCTCCCAGAGTGCTGGGATTATAGGCATGCATCACCACTGCCCAGCTCATTTTAAGTGAAACGTCAATGCTGCATTGTGTATGCTGGTTAAGTGCTTTCGCTGTACCAAAGGATAGATGCCGTACTCATCGCTGAGATTAGAATAACACCAAGCCCGACTGCACAGAGCTGTGTCCCCAGCAGCGTGGGCTGGGTCCAGCCCATATTCCCTCCGCTGCTCTGCCTCACTAGTTGCCTAACAGACCTTATTCCCTGGCCGAGCTGTGTCCCTCCGATACCAGCTTCCCAGCATGGAGAGGAGGAAGCAGAGCGAAGGTGTGCATCTGGTCCTGGGGGAGCGGCTGTGCCTGTCACTGCTTTGACAGTTGAGGGGCTGCAGACAATGGGAAATGAAACATTTGAGTGGTTGAGAAAAATTCCGTGGGAAATTCCCCCAGCCCGCCCCGAGGTGTTTATGCACCGCAGCTGTGACAAGGAGAAGGCACGCGGGGCTTTTGGTTTCAAGGGTTCCTGAGCAGATGACAATGGCCTTCCCGGAGGGCAGTCCCCAGCAGTCTTCCCCGCCTGCCCCCCCATCTGCCTGCCTGTCTGGCTGGCTCCTCAGGGACAATCTGGCCACGCGGGCAGCATCTGGGCCCCCAGTCCTTCTCCTCCAAGGACAAGTCTTCCGCTGTCCCGAGCTTGAGGACCTGGGGACCTGCTGAGCTTGGGGCTTCCTTCTGACCTCGCCTCACTGCAGGACTGTTAGGACAGCAGCTGCTGTAGACTCCTCGGGTCTCACTGAAAAATCCATCACAGGGACCCTGCTTGGACGCCACCCCCCGGTGTTCTTTGGCGTGTACGTGGCCGCCGCCTCCTTCCTCCGTTCTCCCTTGTAATGAATTCTATTTTCTGTCACACCCTTTTCTTCTCATTTAGGGAATAAAGTGGACTCATGTTAGCTACTCCTTGTTTTCTGTTTTCCTTAAAACTAACAAATCTTCTAGACACCTCTGGTGCTAATGTCTCGCCGCTGCTGTGTGATCAGGTGCTTATAGATCTGCTGAAAGGTAAGGGTCAGAGGTCTTTAGAGATCCTGGCTTAGTGGGAAAACGGACACTTAAGCAGGTTAAATAACTTGGCCCTGTGTATTAATCACGCGGCTTCCACGAAAAGTGACGAACCCTAACATCAGGGGACTTATGCCAGATAGACAATGTCTCAGATTATTTCATTGTAAGCAAGAGGTAGTAAGCTTCAGGTGTGGTTGCATCCAGGCCCTCAAGGCCAGCGGAGCAGAGGAAGCTGAGTCAGTCCAGGCTGTAGTTGCTGCCTAAGCCTAGCTGAACCCCACAGAGCAGGGGTGAGTGGTTCCCCAAAGAAAGTCAGGGTGCCCTTACCAGAGGAAGGAGGAAGGGGACCAGCTGGGGGAAAGACCTGGAGTCCTGAGCTCCTATCGAACCAGCTCTCAGCTGTAGCCCTTTCTTACTGCTTGAGACCACCTTGGGACCCCACGTGCTCCACCATGCACTGCTCGCCCACCACTGGACAGTGAATACGTCCAGTTGGTATTTTCCAAAATGGGCATCTTGGGAGGAGTTGCAGGCTGGAAACCAGGCCATATCTCTGCCCTCCTGTGTACTTCAACCGCCCAGCAAGTCTTATGCCTGTTTGTACCCTGGCTCTCTGGTATGCTTTTAACAAAGAGCTCCCCAGATCTTTTGCTTTTTAAAACAATTTGAAATTTTTATTTTATTTTATTTTGAGACAAGGTGTTGCTATGTGATGCTGGCTGGCCTTGAGCTCGCTCTAGAGCCCAGGCTGTCGTCGAACTCCAGGGTGTTTCTCCTGCCTCAGCCTCCTGAGTGCTGGGATTATAGGCATGCAGCACCATGCCCATATTGTTTATATTTTGGGAGATTAGAGATTTGTGTGGGAACACACCGCCTAGCAGCATGCTGCAGAGCAAGTCTGAGACACTCCCCACCCCAGACCCAGTTCCCACTTCCTGCCCGGGGACTTGTACAAGGTGAGGGCAGGGACCCCACACACACCCTGCCTCACCTTCCTGATCCCTCAGCCAGGACTGCACACCATCCGCAGGAGAGCAGCTTTCCAGAGCACAGCCGGAAGGTGGATCTTTGCAGTTTTCTTCTGGTCTCTGGGTTCCCCAGAGCTGGGGACTCACGGGGTAGTTAACACCCTGCCAGGATGGAGACGGATAGTTGCTTCCCTTCCCGATGCTGGCTCCTGCAGCCAGAGCTTACATCACCATGTGCTTCGGTTCAGGAGGATGTTTACAAACAACTGCTCCATCCTCCTGTCCTCCCTCCCGGGGCAGGCCGCTTCTGCAGAGCTGATCTGGGTGCACCAGGCCCCGCCAGCCCAGCCAGCAGCCTACTTCAAACAGCTTTCTGCAGGCTGAGAGCTGCGCACCGAGTGCTTGCCGTGTATTGTTTCTCTGAGTTTTCCAGCAAGCCCGCACAGTAGACACTATGATTATCTCCATTTTACAGGTGCAGTGAGATGAATGGATTTGGCTGAGGTTCCCAGCCAAGTTCAAACGCAAGCAATCAGCCTCCAGTGAACGAGCTCTTGGTCTTCCTGCAGCTCTCCCACCAGACACACAGGGGTGATCTGGACAGGGAGGTGTCGGCGGTGACCGGGACAGACAGAAAGTTCTCTGCTTCCTCCACCCAGTCCTTTCCCTTCCCTGAGACTTTTTATCTGGCCAGTTCTTAGGCTGTGCTTCTTCCCGCCTCTGCCCTGTTGGCTGAGGCCTCCAACAAACACACTCAGGGACCCGAGGGGAGGTGGACTCTATTACCTAGAGGCCTGGAGGGCGAGATCCGAAGGTGGCAGTAGGCACAGGTAAGTCAGGAAAGCAGAGGAGCGCGACCTCGTGACTCAGGCTACCTCTCGGAGCTTATTGAATTAGCGAGACTCTCAACATCTTCCCGTTGGCTGGCCTCCAGCCCAGCCGGACAGCCTTCCATAGCCTCAGCTCGCCTGAACTCAAGTAACTAAGCCGGGCTGATCGGGGCTAAGCTGAGCTCAACAAGTATTTCTTAAGCACTAAATTACATTCGTTTTTTCAAGCTTGATTTTTGTATGGGCATGTCTTAACCTTAATGCTTTTAAATGAACAATTCAGGAGCATTTCCTACATTCCCGATATCATGCAACTACCGGATCTAGCTCTGAAATATGTTCCTCACCCCAAAATAAAACTCCATGAGCGTTAAGAAGCCACTCTCCAGTTCCTTCCCCTCAACCTCTGGCTGCCGCCAAGCTGCTCTGTACCTCTGTGGGTTTGTCTAAGCTGCATATTTCATGTAAGTGCAACCATGCAACACTTATCATTTTGGGCCTGACTTCTTTCATTTAATGTTTCTGAGGCTCATCTGTGTTTTAGCCTGTATCAGAACCTCCTTCGGTGGTCGAATATCTTCTACTGTATGGAGAGACCACAATTTGCTTCTCTATGCATTGATGGATGCTTAATCTGTTATCATATTTTGGCTATTGCAAATAAGAATAGTATTTCTATATGAGTTTATTTTGAAAGAAGAATTTACATCGTTACTTTAAATAGAAAACCTGCATTTTTCTAATACACAAGAAAATAAGTATTAAAGGAAATTTTTTCCTCTTCGTTCCTGCATGCTTTTCTTTTTTCCTTTCTTTTTCCCACAGGACTAGAGAATGAACTGAGGGCCTTATCTCTAAACGATGTCCCCAGCCTCTTATTTATTCTGAGACAGTTTCATGCTAAGTCACTAAGTTGCTTAGGATGAGACTGAACCTGTAACTCTCCTGCCTCAGCCTCCCAAAGTACACCTGTGTGTAGCACATAAAATCACCCCATGAACTCCCAGCTTCAGGAATAAGAAACCTGCGCTCTAGCAGTGGTTAGGCTTGGGTTTAAATCCTGCCTCTGCCCTCTGTTGGCTGCAAGAAAATGCTCTGTTCTCCCTAACCTCAGTTTCCTCATTGAGAAACCAATCATGCTTATAACTCCCTCCCCCATAGTACTAGGCTATAAGAATCAAAATCATGGGTAAAGTACACAGCTACACATCTGGAACATACGTTAAAGCTGCTCACTCGGTAGGAGCACAAGTCCTCAGCACAGCAGTACTAGGGACACTGACATGTTCTAACACCGCAGATGCACACGACGGGCCAGCAGCTGGGCAAAGCACCTGCCGTGTGTCAGTGCATAGCATCCTCTCTGCATTTGCAGCAGCAACTGATACTGCTATGTCCATTTTCTGGACGGGAAAACAGAGGTAGAAAGCAGCAGAGCCAGTCATCGCAGGCCCAGAGCTCAGCACTTGAGCTCTGGCAGGATGAGAAGTGAAACCCAGACAGAGGAAGCCTGTCGAGCTCCTCGAAGCCCAGTCCCGGCAGCTCCCTGCAGCCCTGCAGCCTCTGATCAAATCACTGTTTCCCAGGAACTGCCCTTGACTGTCCTTTCTTTCTTAGTGGATCTCCCGGGGGCAGTGGACGGGCTTCCCCTGCCCTTCCTGCCCAGAGCCTCCGGCTCTGGCACTGAACCTCCTCCCACCCTTGCAGGCTCTCCCCGGTTCCACGCTGTGCCTGACCCTAGTTAATCATCCATCCCTGCCCTGCCGTAAAACTCAGCACTTCTCAAGACCGTGGCTGTATTGTATCTTGGTCCACAGGGAGGCAGGAGGTGTCATTCAGAGTCTCCATCTGCGTGGATAACCCGTGTCCTGCCCGAGGGTGACGGAGCATGGCGGGTGATCAGACTCTGCATCAGGACCACTGCAACCAATAACCCCGGCTCCGGGCTTGAACCAACACAACTTGATTCTCCCGAAGATCCGAGTCCAGAAGTCTGAATTCAAGGTGCCAGAGGGCCACACTCCCTGTGAGGGCTCTCGGCTTCTTTCTTTCTGGTGTTTCTTTGTGGCTGCCAGATGCCCATTTCTTTTTCTTTTTTCCACGCTGGGGTTGGGACCCAGAGCCTCACGAGTGCTAGGCAAACACCTTCCCACCAAGCTCCGCTCCCAGCCCTTCCGTCCTGCTTCACCTGGCCGCTCGCTCTGTGTGTCTCTGTCCTTTTCTGTCTTTTAGGAGGACACTTGTCATTGGATTAAAGCTCTGCTCTAATCCAGGATGATCTCATCTTGATCTTTATCTTAATAGCACCACGGGGACCCCATTTTCTAGTAAGATGATGTTCTGAGGTTCTAGGTGAACATAAATGGTGTGATTTTCAACCTGCTCTAGGAATGTTTGGTAGCAGGGGTACCTGGTCTTCTGCACTGCTGGTTTATTGGATATTTAAGCTCAAATATATGCCAAGTGGACAGGAACTAAAGAAGTTCACTTTCTCCAAAGGCCGCTGTAGGCCACAGTTTTGCCCATTGCCTTCTCCCAGATTTCCGTGGCATCCTGGGAGATCCTGCAGCCTCTGGGTACTTTGCAACGTTAAAAAGGCCAGGCGATGCCAGGGCAGTTTAAAATCTTCACCCCAGCACTCCCTCATTTTCCCTTAGATGCCACCAACGTGGTTTCCAAACTTCTGCCCAGGAAATTATTTTCCACAGAACGCCCTACCACTGGGGGCATTCCCCAGAGTTCACTTTGAGAAATGCCACGCACCCTGAAGTACCGCCAACGCAGAGTGCCCACAACGGCTAGGCACGCAGACCAAGAGAGGATGCGTTTTTGAGGAAATCCACCAACTATGAGACAACGTTGTGACTGATTCAGGAAAATTGGCTTCCAGATCACTGTGGACAAGACCCAACTTGGCTAGGAGGCCGTGATCCCTGGGGAGAGCCCTCCAGGGCTGGACGCTGGCCAGCTTCGATTCTGAGAAAGGGTCGGTGACCATAACTGCTGATTTCCCTGCCCCAGCCCCCGCAGCCATGAGGGCAGAACTTCCGTGTTTAAAGGCAATTATTTGGAGGGGAGAGTCCGGGGTGGGGCACAGCCTTGCCATCAGTCAATCAATGAATCAATCAGTAAGAAATAAGTAAATAAAAGAGAAATGCAAGAAAAATTTGCGCTATGATGTAGTCCTATAACTTATGCAATTATGTTGTGCAAATTCAATAATGGGGACTCCGTAGAATAATGAGGATAATAACATAATAATGAAAGAATAGATGGTATTAATAAATGTAAGTGACGTTCTTCGCACAGCTGGATTTGGGATCCTCTCGGGCATCTGTGGTTCCCCGGCACCCTGCAGTCCCAAGCACGTGTGTAGTGCTTAAATAATGTCATTTTCACACACACAAGTCTCCTCCCCACTCTTTTCCATGTCATCGGTTGCTGGCCATCGACTGTGATCTGAAAACATCTTATGGAAAATGCCAGAAATAAAACGTTCGTAAGTTTTTCAAACTCTTATTTTCTTGTAACCGTCCCATGCTGTCATTTGTCATTATAGTTAATCTCTCACGGTGCCTAATCCATATAGGAAGCCTTATCATAGGTGTGTAGGTTCAGGAAAACACTAGTATAGACAGGTTTGGGGGCTATCAGATGTTTCAGGCATCCCCTAGGGGCCTCAGGACAGATTTCCTGGGGTTAAGTGACATGACTGTCACACGGCCTCTAAAATCGGTCTGATTCACAACTGAACAAGTGACAACCTTCTGCAACACTGGGGAAACCCCACGTGTTGGACTGACTGAAAAAACGTCCCTCAGCCTCCAGCTCACTATCTCTCTATGGAGGTCTGGGGGTTATTTCTGACCGCGCCATTGTGATGGTCTTGTCAACTTGACTGGCTTGACAGACACCTGGGAGATTAGTAAAGCACACTTCTGGGAGTGTCCAGGTCAGTCCTGAGGACATAAACTTGGCTCTATAGTTGGTCCATCTTACTGTCTGCTTCATGGCTGCCACCAAGTGAGCAGGTTTCCTGTGCCACACCCTTCTGCCATGATGCTCCTAACTTGGATCCAGCCAACCATGGACTGGCCGCCCTGAAGCCGTGAGCCAAAATAAATCTCTCCTTTAAGTTGGGGGTGTCCCAGCAACGCAAAGGTGATCAATATTTCGTGTTCACCTTTGGAGTTCTACCTGGCTGTACAGTCACACTAATACATCAGGTTTAAATCCCTGGCGGTCTCAAAGCTGCATAGAATTTAGTTTTGTCCATGTAATCAAGACAAAAATTTTCTGAAAGTCAGGGACTAACTTTACGGTTAGGATCAGCAAAGGTAGAAATGATCATAAGTCTGAGGAATACCAGCCAATCTCACAACACACTCCATGTCCTATTACCTCCCTCCCCCAAATAAGTTTAGAGGGAAAAAATTGCAATCTAATTGTGTTACCTGAGTGTGGACTTGTTGGTCATCAGAGGTCTCGAATGATCAGCTTATTTATCTAGACAATAGCCTGGTAAAGGTCAGAGTGAAAGCTCACTCTGGAAGGGTCAGAAGCCTGTGGACACTGGACTTTCCTGGCTTTCTTTCAGCTCTGCTCTCTGACATGAAAACTCCCAGGACCCACGGAATGATGTCCCAGCTCAAGGCAGGACCCGGGACCTCATGAGCCAAGTCCCACAAGGCGGGGCCTGGTGAGGATCTATCTGCAGCAGCTCTGTCCTGACACAGGTTTCAGCAGATAAGATCAAGGGGTGAATGTCAAACTCACAGGAAAGTAACCCACGTAACAGTTGGGGACCGCATGTTCCAGGCAGTACTGACAGTGTTGTGTCAAAAATTAAACAGCTTGGAGAGCAATTTAAATCTTTACCAAATTTCTCAAGGGACACACACAGACACACAAGTGAATTCTATGTATAATATTGACTTGGGTGGGTACCAGGACTCGAACTCAGGACCCTGCTCTTACCATACAGGTGCTGTGCCACTAAGCTACATCCTTGGCCCCAATATAGACTTTTAGGCTGAGCACAATGGTACACATCTATAGTTTCAGCTACTTGGGAGGCTGAGGCAGGAGAATCATTTTGGAGACAGAGATATGAACCCAGGTTGTCTTAGAAACAAAACAAACAACCAGAAGCAGCCTTTGAGTATTTATATCTCACCTCCATGGACGCTGGTGCCCAAATCTCAACTTCTCCTGCCTCTCCTCTCTTTCACCTCACAGACCTAACTTCTGCTCACGCAGCAGTGCCAGGTGGCTCTTGAGGCACAGGGGCCGGGGCTGGGTTCACATGTAGTTGGGTCTCTAACGTGGAAAGGCACCTGGCACATGGTAAGTGCTCCGTAACTGACTCCTGATTATTATTGTTATTGTCATTATTATCACCCAGATCTTGATCATTTCTCTAACTTTTTTTTCACTTGGTTCACTTTCTATTGATGCAATAAAAAGTACTACTGTCCCAGGCCCTCCATAATACATAATAAATTACCACATGCTTGTGGGCTTAAAACGGCAAAACTCTATTCTCCCACGGTTCTTTGTTTTTCCTTTGAGGCTGGCTTGGAACTCACCGTGATCCTCCTGCCTCAGCCTCCCAAGTGCTGGGGTTACAGAGATGTGTGCCACTCTACCGGGCACGCACAGTTCTAGAGGCCAGAATCCAACATCAAGACGACACCAGGGCTTTGCTATTGGAGAGTTCAGGCCAGGTTGTCTCCAGCTTTGCCTGGGCTGTCATGCATTGCTGTGGTCCCGTCTCTGTGACCTGTGGCCTTCCCTGGCTAGCTTTTTCCCTGTGGTGCTGGGGATGGAACCCAGGGCTCACGCATACCAGACAAACATCCTACCACCAAGAAGCTCCCCAAACCCTTGCCAAGACATTTAATGGATTTAGGACCCAGCCAAATAATCTGGGATGATCTCAGCTGAAAGGCTTTAATTGTATCCTCAAAGACCCCCAAGGAAGATGACACCCCCAGGTTCTACACATGGATATTGGGGGTTTTTTGGAGGGGGGAGTCACCATTCAAGCCTCTCCTACAGGATGCTGGGTGTTCCTCTTGTGAGGGTCGGGTGAGGAGAGGACTGCATGCTCTTATCAGTTTTTTTTTTCTCCTGTCCTTGTCGTGATGAATAAATCAAACCAGCAACCAGCACCAGGTACTTGGGGACGCAGAAGGAGAGGAGGCAGGTGGCAGAAAGCCTGTTGACCTCTCTTTTCTCAGACATCCACGCCACTCTTTATTTATTCATTTATTTATTTATTTTTGGTCTTTTTCGTTTTTATCGGTACCGGGGATCGAACTCACGACTGCCTGCTTGCAAGGCAGGTGCTTATGCCGCTGAGCTAAATCCCCAGCCCCCACGCCACTCTTTAAACCGTGCCTATTACAGCTGTAAGAACCGAACTGCTGCCTCCCGGGTGGGGTGAGGGGACGGCAGGAGAGACAGCGCAGTGTCGCACCCAGACAGATACATCCCGCCAAAGGACCGAGCGTCTCTGGCTTTTCCACCCCGAGCAGGCCGGCCGGAGCCCTGCAGGCTGATGGGTCACAGCCGCCCGAGTGAGCGACGGGATCCAGGAGGCTTCGCTCTAATCAGCTCGCAGCCGGCCAGACTCCTGAGTTTCTCTTCCCAGAACTATTTTTGGCGTTGTTCATAGACAGCACACAGCAAAGTACTTGGTATTTGAGAGGCAAGCGTGAAGGATGATTAAAGTGAGCTGCTAATGAGCGTGCCTAGAATAGACCTGCTGTGTGTGTGTGTGTGTGTGTGTGTGTGTGTGTGTGTGTGTGTGTGTACACGCGCTCACTCTCCACGCATGTGCCGCACGTGTGTGCTGGCTTCTGAGCTACAACTTGGATGTCTGTGTACCTGCCCCAGGGCAACCCCATCGGTATCCACAGGTTGCTGCTGCCCTGAATCAGCACAGATGTCCACAGACAGGAGAGGAAGGGGGAAACGGGGTGTGACAGTGCCTTACCAGGCACCCCACCTGCATCCCGCCTGTGCTGCAGAGCCTAGCTCAGCCCCTGGTCACCCCCAGGACGCTGGGTCAGAGGTACACACAGGTTCCATCCCAAGGGATGGCTCGGATGGCCTTGGCAAGGGGCCACTGTGGCTGTGGTGGGGGACTCTGTATTCCTTTCCAGAACACCCCAGCCTGGGTGGCTTGACATCCCAGTGTCTTGGCTCACATTCTGGAAGCCGGGCACCTGAAATCTCCTTAATGACACCTGAAACACGGCCATCTCGAGGAAGGATCCTCCCGTGCCAATGGCCCCAGGAGCTCCTTGACTCTCGGCTGCAGCCCACTTTCTCTTGTCCCTCCCACCTCCCCGCCACCTCCCGCTGCACCCATGTCCCCACATGGCCCCACAGTCCTGTGGGGGTGACTGTGCCCAGACCTCCTGCCTCCACAGGACCGTCAGTGGCTGGACACAGGCCTGCACAAGTAACCTCACTGAGGTCCAGCTGCTAAGATCACATTCTCGGGGGTGCTGGGGATTAGGCCTTGTCGTATCTCTTTGAGGGACACAATTCCACCCACAACAGATGCGATGAGCAATTAGGGACATCCGTCATGGGCGAAGAGAAGTTCACCTATTTTGTTAAATCTGCCCTTGTGCATGTAATTGGGGGCATAACTTAGTTAGAAGCACTATGCTTAAGATTATTTATCTGTGATGCCTATCAATCGATTTATGGCTGTACATGTGCCCTACCTATAGTCCATCATCTATATCTAGCAATTAAAAAAATTTTTTTTAGCTTTTTGAGACAGTGTCTCTCTATGAAGCCCAGGCTGGCCTCAAATTTGAGATCTTCTTGACTCAGCCTCCCGAGCACAGAGATGACAGATGTGCTTTACCATGGCCCACCCATTTTGTCTTCTCAAGTAGATCAGAAGCCCCATGAGGGCAAGGATTATAGCCTGAAGCCCTTCCCCAACCGCCTGGGCCAACAGTGAATCTTCAGTGTGTGGATACGGAGGTTAGGTCTGAGGGCCTGAGGCTGGAGGTGGGTGCTCCCCAGGAGCCCGCATCTGGGGCTTGCTGGCTGGCACTGTCTTCCCAGCTCCTGTGCGTACCTGGCCGTCCTCACCTACCGCATCTTGAGTGCCTTCCTCTAACAGGACAGCCCTGTAAT